GGCATCTGCCGTAACAAGTTGGAGGTAATTCAAAACAAAAGACGTGGAAGAGAGCCAGAGATGAATAATAACTAATGATTAAATGCAGCGCATAGTGAGTGAGAAGGTGAGTGAAGAAGAAACAGGGTGCATCATGGGAGGACCCCAGCAGCCAAGACTTATTTCAGCGCAACTAAGGAAGGATTCAGGGTCACCTGATTCAGCCCGTCATCTATGTAACGCTAAATATGACATAAGTCTACGAAGAGTTTAGTGCACATTAGCTGTTCACACTGAGAGCTCTGAATATGGTTTTTAAAAAACGAGCTGAGACAGCCGACTTCGCATTACCTGCGCTACCTGTTGTGTCTGGAAGCAACAGTTATGAAAGATATCAACCAAAAACCGAACAAATCCGCTGACTGGCTGAACCCTATAGCATGTAAGTTACTGTTTCCTTAACAGTGCCAAAAATAGCTCCGATGTAGCCAAAGGCTTGTTTGTGTGTGTGTGTGTGTGTATTTTTTTTTCCTTAAACACCAGTGAGGTGTTCTTGCTACGCGTCTCGCCACAGTGGGTTTTATATCAAAGCCAAGACCTGTTTTGATACAGCCGGGCCAGCCGGTCATGTGTGTGTGTGTGGGGGGGGGGAGAGACGGCAAGGTCGTCTGGGTTATGGAGTGAATCCAGTGGAGATGCAGCAGTTTGTGGCTCTCTGCAGTTTGTTTGTTGTCAGGCGGGTCCATCTGGCGGGCAGCAGAAGGATTGCTCATGTGGAGACGTTAATGGCACATTTTGTGTGTGTGTGTGTTGTTGTTGTTGTTGTTGTTGTGGTAACTCTCACCTTCATCTGTTATGCTCCATTTCCCCCTTGAGCCATCTCATGACACACTTTCCCACCGTTGCTGAGTCCGGATGAGAGGAAGTGTTTAATGCAACAATAAAAAAAAACCGCGCACTGTGGCAAAGCTCCGACCAGCAGGCAGGTACACTGCAGAGGAAATGAACTTTTACCCACTTAATGGTGCTCCATCTTTTGAAATAAGCGGGGGAGTTTATTAATTAGGTTCACTTCTTATTCACGTTTTATTAAGAATGAATGTCACGTGCTTTCCTTGTTTATTTTTTACACTGCATACATCAGCGTGCATCGCCGTACATATGACTGCTGTTGCCCATCCGGGGGACCTTATCTCTTCACACCGGAGTGTGTGGAACTCAAGCCCCCGGCCGGCCGCTGAAGAATAGCGGTCGTTAAATATTCATCCTCCGTTCCCGGTGGCACACTTTTCTTCCCTGCAGACCGACCCTTACTGCTTCGAGACCCGCTAGAGCAGCAGCAAAGGCGTAAAGCTGTGTGAGTAATTAAGATTTTTTTTTAAATTAAAAAGGGGATTGTTTTTATTTTATTTTGATTTTAGTCTTTCGCTCTATTTTGACCCGTAGGAGGATGGTGAAACGTGAATATGGAGCTCCAGTAACGTGAGGCTGTCTGTTCCCGAGGTCTGGTGTGTGCCAGGGAAAGGTTGGTTATAGGTGCATAAATCCACACCCATTCCCCCTCCCTCCATGCCTCCCACATACAGTGCACATCTATCTGTTTGCCTGCATGCTTTGGCTTTGGTGGGTCTTATTCTCTCCTGCAGTATAATGTTTTTCCTGGAGCTGGATTGCCCGGTGTTTCTCCCAGCCCGTTATTATAAGACTAAACTAAATCATGTAAGGAAATGCAGAATTGTTAGGTAACTGCTGTGTGTTGTGCAAGCTTTTTGCCACAGGCCTGTAAACTTACCTGATATCCGACCAACTCCTGACTACAAGAAGTGCTGCAGGTGTAATGCTGCTCCACTAGATAGCAGCAGATTACTGTGTGTGTATGTGTGTGTGCATGTGTGCGTGGATGTATGTGTGCAAAGTGACAAAGATGGTCTACAGCTTCCCCTTGGGACCTGAATGCGTTTGATGAGCCTCATCAAGTCCACCTCTGTCATAACTCTGCTTTTTTTGCCCCCTCCCGGGCATTTATCCCAGTTTCTCTATGTTGTCTCTTCTCCGCAAATTCTATCAAAAGATGGAGGACCACCTGCCAGCAGCGATTGCTTTGGGAAAAGGGAGACTGGCTGCAGCTCAGAGCTTTTCACATTTGATAAGGGCTTTTCATTCTCCTTCAAAGGCGGATGTACAGTTTGAAACAAATTGTGGGAAAGCCAGGGGAAGAAAAAAAAACACTCTTTCATCACACTCTCCATCTATTTAATACACACGTGCACCCACTCAAAGGCATCTTTATGAGCAACCCTGTGCACACATGCACTGGTTGTGCCCGTTCCTGGTGTGTAATGATCAGATAGACTTACATCCAGAGACCAAAAGATCAGGATCTGGCAACCCAACACCTATACTCTGTAACAGGACTGATCCAGCAATCCGACCCCTTCCCTCTCGAAGAGGAATAATTTGGTTGATGGCACTAATAATCACAGCCCTGTTACTGATCCTTCACTGCTTCTCTGTGTATGTGTGCGCGTGTGTGTGAGAGTCATTCCTCTGTCATTGATACCTAGAGGGAAGACGTCATATCTCTAGCAAGTGGGTGCTTCTCCTGCCTCTGCTCCTTCTTCTGCTGTTACGTATGTGGAAGTAGGTTGGTGGTGGCTGCATTGCTCATTTTGAGGCTGTTTAAATATAATATTTATTGAAAAGAAGCCTGTGTGAGCAGGACACACACACACATGCACACAGCTGACAGAGTTCAGGAAACAGAGTTAGAGAATATTTAAGGTTAGAGCATAAATGTGTGTCTGGGTGGTCAGGTCAGGGTTGTTATTACATCTTTGTGGGGATGATGACATTTTACTGCCAATCAGGCTTATCTTATGCATCCCATGTCTGTCTATCTCTCTTTATCCTTCTCTGTCTCTCTCTCTCTCACTATCTCAACCTTTTGTATTATTTATGCCCCGCCCCCTCAGCCGCCCAGAGATCTCAAGTTTCACCTGTAGAGCCAGATGACAAATTAAGACTCCTTCTACGAGCTGCCAAAAGGAACTCTTTAAACCTACACATATACACACATACACGCGCATTGGTTGTCACACACTCTGAGGAGGGCTTGGTGAACAGAGTGGCATGTTGAGTGAGAGAATGTGTTGTAGTGAGCAACAGAGGACAGAGTAGGTCAGAGGAAGAAGCTCGGTGTGACCCAAAGACATTTGCCCAGAGTTTTTTGCTGAAGAAGAAACTTGCAAACAGGACGCGTCAGATTTGAAGACTGCAGACACCAGCCAAGAGCGCAGCACTTCCTCTTTTGTGACGTTTTTTTTGTCAGTGAAGTGGAGGTGACTATGACCGGAAAGGTTTGGATGAATGATTGCGGCTTTAACTTCAAGTCTACAGATGAAGCACTGACTGGACCGTAGAGGGAGTAGAGCTGGAGCTGGTGTAACAGCTCCATATGTTGTTTGTGTGTTTTCAGTGCTTGCATCTGCACGAACGCAAACACCGTAGGGATCAAACTGTGTGGAAATGAGTAAAATCAACACAGTAACAATCTCCTTTCAAAGAGTTTGCAGTGAGGTTTACAGTCAACACCTTGCATACTAATGTAGAATTGCAATTTACAGAAGGCTTTTAGAGCTGACCTTAAAGCCTATAGTACAGCTGGACATTGATAGATGATGGCTCTTTTCACTGAGGTTGTGTATCGCTAAGAGATTTCTGTATGGAAACTGGACATTTCTAGATGATGTCTTCATATTGTAATATAGAGATAGGAGCTCTAATCACTTTGTAAAGGATATGATATTACGACAGTATTCGTGCTAAGACAAGAACACTGACTTATCTTACTAAATGCATTTTACTGCTGTTTCTGAATGTGATAGCAATATTAATGTTAGTCTTATTTGTATGTGTGAGATTGCAGACATTCATCTATCTATCTGTCTATCTATCTATCTATCTACCTGCACAGAAGCCTTCATGGGGACCCGATCTGGGCAGTGTCAAACTGCTTTGGCCAGGTGGACCTGTCCTTACACAGATACAGAACCCGCATATAGCTCTGGCACAAAGTCAAACAGGCACATATAAGGCAAGGAGTCTTTTAAAGGTCAGACTTTTTGGAACACAACATGCCTTTTATTGAACTTGAGACATTCTCACAGTGGTGCCTTCCAAACTCTACACATGTGATGTCTTTCTATTTTTCTTTTGAAGGTCAGCTCCATTGCATCTCGTAGAGAGGGCATGGTGTGCCCTTAGCCAAAATGCCTGGCAAGAAAGACCCCAAAAAGGACGCAAAGAAGGGTGGAAAACCTGAACCAGAGAAAAAGAAGGAGGAGGAAAAGAAAGGCAAGGATGACAAAAAGGGAGGGAAGGACGACAAGAAAGCCAGCAAGGATGATAAGAAAGGTGGAAAGGATGATAAAAAGGGTGGTAAGAAGGGAAAAGAGGAACCGCCCAAGGGGAAAGATGATGGAAAGAAAGGAAAAGACAAAGGGAAAGGCAAGAAAGTGGAGTCTGAGGAGGAAGAGGAGGAGCTCCTGAGCGATGAAGAGGATGAAGAGTTCAGTGATGAAGAGGATGAGGAAGACTCAGAGGATGATAGGAGAGGGAAGGGGCGAGGAGGCAGGGGAGCTAAAGGAAAGAAAGTGGGGAAGTCTAGACGGGGTGAAGACTCAGAGGAGGATGATGATGAGGATGAAGATGACGAGGAAGATGAGGATGATGAGGATTATGGGAAATCCAAAAAAAAATCCAAGGACGATCGCCACCATAAAGGAGGGAAATCTGATGCTGACGCAAAGAAGAAAAAGGGCAAAAAGAAAGAGGAAACGCCACAGATTCCAGTGAAAGAAATCCCGAGGAAAGGTCTGAAGAACATGTCCAGGATGTTCATGAAGTTTTCAGGCTTCAAGCGACGCAGGAACAGCAGGAAGAAGCTTAAAAGTACTTCACGTTTATTCCTGGGTTTGGGGAAGAGAAAGACGCGAATTGCTAAGAAGAAACGTCGCAAGTCCATGCTGAAGAACACCTCTCGTTTCATGATGAGATTCAAGGCCAGCAAAAAGAGGAAAAAGGAGAAAGAGGCCAAAGAGAAGGCAAATGGTGGGAAGAAGCCAACCTATATGCTGCTTCGCCTGGGAGGGAACAACTCCAATGAGAAGAAAGGGGGCTTCTTCAAAGGCTTATTTGGGAAAAAGGATGGTGATGGGGCTGTTGACGACTTCAAGAACAGAAGTCTACTGTTGGGGAAGGTTGCAGCGGCAACTAACTGGTTGACGAAACGCTTCCTGTCCACCAAAATGCGGGAAAATTCAGAACAGCATGGCTGGCAAGGGCATAGAGCTCACAGTCGGCAAGCCAGCTCCCGACGTTATCTCCAGGGTTACCAAAACAATGGTTATGAGCATGATGAAGATGTGTACGGATACCAGAAAGTATATGAAGGGTATGATGACGGTTATGGAGATGAGGCAGCATATGGAAATGATGGTCATTATGGTTACTATGACAATGACAATGGGGCAGGGGGAGCAGGATATCAAGACCTTGGTTACTATGAGGATGAAGGATTCAATGATCCAAATGCAGAATATTATCCTGGTGTTCTTTATGATGAGAGCACGGGGGAATATTATAACCCTTATTCCTCTGCTGATTACTATGCTTACGAGCAGCAGCAGGCAATGTATGGTGATGAGGGTCTGGACTACTATGCAGTAATGGGTGATGACCATATGTATGGAGGAGAGGTGGATGGGTTCCTTGACCCTCAGACTCAGGGCTATTATGATGAAAATAATCAGGGAGTTTACTATGGTGGCGAACAAGTGGGCTATTATGACATTGGACAGGCAGGTTATTATGAGAACCCTTATGTATCATCTATGGGAATGCAAGGTGGATTTGCGCAGGACTATCAACTTAGCTATACTGATGTTGGCATGCCATACCAAGACTTCAGCTCCCAGCAGGCAATTGGATTCCCTCCAGGAGGCCAACAGGTGTTTGGGTTTGGAGACCAAGTTGTAGGTCAAGGACAGTACCTTTATGGAAACCAGAATGTTGGCCAGATGGATCAGTATGGAGATGATAGCAGTTTAGTTCAAGGGGGGGAGATGACGTTTAGAGTTCCCAGACCTCAAGTGCGCCTTTTCGGGAAAGAACGTCTAGATGTTACCTTGCCTCCTCCACCAACTTTGCCGCCTGATCCAGAATTTGAAGATATGTCAGAAATCCAGTACGAAGACCAGATTCCTCTCGTGCCAGGTCAGCCTGGTGGCATGATGTCATTACAGCAACAGATGGCAATGTCACCACAACAACAAATAATGATGTCTTCGCAGCAAAATCTGTTGCCCCCTCAAGAACCAATAATGATGTCCCCTCAAATGATATCACCTCAGCAGCAAGTCATGTCACCGCAGCAGCAGATGATGTTACAACAAGACCAGAGTATGTCCCCCCAAATGATGTCATCGCCAATTATGTCACCACAGCAACAAATGATGTTAACGCAGCAGCAGCCGATGTTGCCACAACAACAGATGATGTCCCAGCAAATGATGTTGCCACAGCAGCAGACGATGCCCCAGGAAATGATGTTGCCACAGCAGCAGATGTCACAAGAGATGATGTTCCCACAACAGCAAATGATGTCACAGCAAATCATGTCACCACAAGAGCAAATGATGCCACAGCAAATGATGCTGCCACAACAACAGATGATTTCACCACAGGTAATTCAAGCTGTGCAGTGTCATTGAACCTGACAATGTTCTTAAAGCTAGAGAGTCACAGGAGGGTGACTTTGCTGACTTTCAGTGTGATTCATATTGCACTGTAAATATAAAAAAGAAAAAAATGGGAAATTCAAAAGAGTACACATGCACTGCCCTTTCAAGTTACACAGTTCTCTTGTTTTAAATAATCCCACCACACGGAGAAATGTGGCAGTAACATATTCAATAAATAAAGAAAATATTGCTCAACATTGTTCAATTCAGTTTTTCTATATAGTGCCTAATCACGATAACAATTGCCTCTAGGTGGTTTATATTGCAAGGTAAAGACCCTACAATTGTATAGGGAACAATCAGACCACCACGACAGTGGTAAGGAAAAACTCACTTTTAACAGGAAGATACCGACAGAAGCAGGTTCAGGGAGGGACGGCCATTGGTTGGGGGCGAGGGGAGGGAGACAAAATAAAAACACACTGTGCAGAGAGCCAGAGATTAGTAATAACTAAGAGAGTGAATAGCGCTGAGTGAAGAAGAAACATTCATCATCGGAAGCCTCCAGAAGCCTAAGCATTGTACAATTTAACTAAGGGAGGGTTTGGGGTCGTATGATCCAGTCTGATCCAATCTTAAAAGTAGAGCAGGTGTCTGTCTCCCAAGTTCAAACTGGGAGCTGGTTCCATAAAAGAGTGGCTTGAAAGTGTCTGCCTCCCATTCTACTTTTAAATACTCTGGGAGCCACAAGTAAACCAGCAGTATGAGAGAGAAGTTGGGGTAATATGGTAAATTTAATTCTAGATTTAATATGGAGCCAATGAAGTGAAGCCAGGATGGGAAAAATATGCTCTCTCTTTCCCTCCAGTCCCTGTCAGTACTCTTACCAACTGAAGGCTTTTCTTTTTTTTTTGGGGTAGGGGGGGGGGGGGGGTAGGACAGCCTGATAATAATGAATTACAATAGTCCAGTTTAGAAGTAATAAATGCATGAACTACTTTTTCAGCATCCTGAGGTGGGATGTTTCTATTTTTAGATTCTCAGTACTAAGTACGATTAGTGATAGCAGCATTAAACCATTTCATTTCATTTGAACTGGAAATAGCGATAGATAATCAATAAGCCAATGTTAGATAGGTGTAGCTGCTTTTTTTTGCTTATGACCAACAATGTGATAAATAGTTCTTTGAAATAATTAGTGTAACATTTTCTTGATGAAAAATAATATTCCAGGCAAAATCAGCTTGCAAATCTGATAACTGCTTTTCACAGCCTGTAAATTACTGGGCTAAAGTCCATGTTTCCATTTTGAACATAAAGCTTTGTGCTTTTTCAGCAGCAGATGATGACTGACCCAATGATGATGCCACAGCAGCAGGGTTATGGCCCACCATCCATCCCTACTCCAACTGCAATGATCATTAAGCAAGCCAACATGTCCCCTCTTCCGGGACGCCGTATTCAACCCTCTCCGACACCATCCCGCCGTTCTGTCATTATGCCCTCCCCACAAATGCAACGTCATCCTCCTGCTATGGCTTCCCCAGTACCCTCTCCTATGTTTGCACAAAGACGCAGTCCCTCTCCACAGCCATCCATGAGGAGTGGTTTAATTAATGCCCAAAGACCGCCCTCTATTATGTCTAGGCAACTCTCACCTCCTTCCTCGCCTATGGCCTCCCCGCTTGCTCGTCGTAGAATGCAACCTCAGAGATCACCCTCTCTCCTGGCTCGAGGTCCTTCAGCCCCCCACTCTCCCCGTGCCTCAATGATCCGGCATAGTCCCCCATCGTCACCAAGACCATCAATGAGGCGACGATCTCCACCTTCTTCACCTCGTGCTTCCATGAGAAGGCGAAGTCCTCCACCAGCACCCAGTCCTGCCCGCAGCCCATTTGAAGCTAGAAAGATTCATAGGTCACCATCTCCTACCCTCTCTCCTGCTCATGTATCTCCCCCCCTCTCTCCACAGCTCAGCAGAAGACCATCTCCTTCCCCATCTCATCGTAGCTTATCTCCTGCTGGGCCCCGGCCTCACCTATCATCCCCTACTCTTTCTCGCCGCTCAACTCGACTGCTTAGGGATCCAACACCAGTGGCCCGGCCTAGGATGGGTGGAAATGTTCCTTTAGGTACTGTCAGACCCTCCCCTATGGGTCTCCGAGGACGTCCAGTGCCCCCACCAACCCAGAATGTGCGTCCTTTTCGTGCCTCCTCTATAAGAAGCAATAGGTCTTCTGTTCTCACAGTGGACTCCTCGCTTCACTCCTCTCCTTTCCACTCCCCTCACATGGTCCACCGTGCTCCCTTGAGGAGAAGAGAATCTGGAAGATTACCTCCTCGTCCCATTGCTCGAGGACGTCCACTCGTGGCCCAGCGGTCAGTAAGAAGTATGCCACCCCCTTCCCCACAGTTGTCCATTAAACACATACCGCACTCCGCGTCCCCGCACCTCTCTCCTCGAGTCTCCCGTCAGCCCTCCCCCCTCCTGCCCCCACGTGCTGTCCACTCGCCTACTTACACACCAGAAATGATGCCCTATGCTGATCCTTACACTCAACAGTCACATCAATTTGTAGCTCCATCTTCTCCCATGCTTTCTGGTGCTTTGCAGAACCAGTCTCTCCGACAAGCCTCCTTCTCATCCCCCCTTGGACCTCAGGTAGCCCAAATGGTAGTGATGGAGGATATGGTTCCTGAAGTAGACCCTTATGTTCCCTTGTCCCCTACTTTGTCTGGTGCAATGCAAAACCAGGTTATTCGTGATGCCTCCTATGTCCCCTCACTCCAGAGACCAGTGTCACCTTATGGTCAGCCTATGGCACCCTCATCTCCTATGCTGTCTGGGGCTCTGCAAAATCAAGCTCTACGAGATGCATCTTATGTTTCCCCTTTACAAAGGCCAGTGTCACCTCTTGAACCTTCTCTGTCCCCTTCTTCTCCATTACTATCTGGAGCTCTGCAAAACCAGGCAGTGAGAGAAGCGTCCTATGTATCTCCTATTTATAGACCTCAATCCCCTTATCCCCCATCTGTACCTCCATCTCCAGTGCTCCCTGAAGCCATGAGACATGGACAGGCACTAAGAGGCGTAGCTTCCTATCAGACACAGTTCAGTTTGCCATATGGACCAACTGTTGTTACACCATATGATTATATCTCTGAGCCTGCCCCTGCGCCGCTGCTCCATGATGCACTGCAAAACCGATCTGGTTTGCAGAGTGTCTCAACTATGAGATCCCCTATGATGCAGCGTCGTAACCCTTATGCACCAGCTGGGCCTCAGCTCCACAGTGCTCTTCAGCAGAACCCAAACCTTCGTCAAGCTTCTTATCACACTCCTGTGCAACTCAGACGATCTCCATATGGACCCAAACCACCCTCTTCCCCAGCATTAGGAAGTGCCCTGCAAAACCCACAGTTGATGCAAGCGTCTTACCGTCTGCCAGATGGAACTTTGGTTTCGCCATATGCAGATCCACGTTCCTCCCCATTGCTTGGCCATGCCCTGCAAAATCAGCAAGTTCGTGGAGCTTCGTATGTTTTGCCCGATGGATCGATCAGGGTACGTAAATGGAATATGTCAGTTATGTAGGCTACAACAACAGCTGCCTCATTACATTATACTCTTCTAATTCACACTCTGCCTCTACCCACATAGGACCCTCGTATGCCTCAGAAGCCAATGTCTCCTAACCTCTCGAGAGCTCTTCAGAATCAGAACCTTAAGACTGCTTCATATACTCTTCCGGATGGGACCATTATCGATCCTAGACAGCAAGTAATCCATGTCTTATGTTCCTTTCTTAACTCATTCTTTTCATCATCTGTTTGTTCAAAATAAGGAATCTTTTAATACATTTTTCTCTATTTGTTTTTGCTCATTCAGCAACCCATTTCCCCAAACTTGGCTAAGGCCCTAAGCAACCCAGTTTTGCGTGAGGCCTCCTACTCTCTCCCCGATGGGACCATTGTGATTGACCCCAAGAAACAAAAGTCCCCCAATCTCGCAGCAGCACTTCAGAACCCTTACCTCAAAAGTGCATCCTACACCTTGCCAGATGGCACCATCATCATTGATCCACGCAAACCTGTCTCTCCAAACCTTTCTGGTGCCCTCCAAAACAGCGCCTTGCGGAGTGCCTCATTCAAATTACCAGAAGGGGTTCAAGACCCCAATATACCCATATCACCAAACTTGACCAAGGTTAGTTATTGATATGTTATGTGCTATGAATTTCTCTTTCAACTCACCCTCTCTTCCCCACATAGCAGGACTTGTGTAAAAGTTAACAAGTATAAGTATCATGTCTTCAAAAGTTCTCGTGGCTCCAGTTTGTCTAATAATCACTGTTGACCTGAGGTGCCTCTTTAATTCACTGATGACTAACTCATTTGTCTCTGTTTTAAAACTTAGGCTCTCCAAAACCCAGCCTTGAAAGGAGCTTCATACACGCTCCCAGATGGAACTATTATCATTGACCCAAGAAAACCAAAGAGCCCCAACCTGGCAGCTGCCTTGCAGAATCCTTATTTAAAGGGTGTGTCCTACACCCTGCCCGATGGAACCATCATCATTGACCCACGGAAGCCAGTTGGCCCTGATCTCTCTAAAGTGCATACCTGTTAAAAATAGTATATCATTTAGCTTTGCTACAGTAATCTATTACTATTTATCACTATTTACTATTACTATTTATACTATTCAATAAAGTATAAAGTAAACATTATTTGTATTGCTTTTATTTATGTTTTTATTGCTGTTTTAGTTGCATTTTTTTTGCTTCTAAAGTTAAGCATAACATTCTAGCTATTACAGACTATTGAAATGAAGTGTAATATTGGGGACATTTTAGTGACCTAAACTGAACTCTTGAGTAACTTCTCTGCTTTTCCTCTGCCTCCTTCAGGCTCTCACGAATGCAAACCTTCGAAGTGCATCATATCGTCTTCCTGATGGGACCCTGGTAATCCCTGGTCAGCCTCCAAACCTTTCATCTGCTCTGAGGCAAAACCGGGCTCTTCGTTCTACAGGTCTCTATCATCTGTCAGAAAACTCTGTGCTGACAGGCGTGCCCAAACCTACACCTCCCAACCTATACACTGCGCTGCAGAAGGAAGATATGCGTGGCGCCAGTTACAGGTAGGAAACTATTCTGTTACTGGAAACTATCACAAGTGACCTGATTAGGTTTTTCCAGGTAAATGACCTGTTAGGAAATCAATCTGCAAGCTGGGGATTCATTTAAACTAACTAACAGACAAACCCAAATCATCTCCAGTTGACTTTATACAATCTGCATATGTTGATGGTTCTTTCATATTTTGATTCTGACCATTTTGCAGCATTTAGTCTTGTATACTCCACATACTAGAGAGTAAGCCCACTTAATGTTGGTGTTCACATTTTGCCAGTGTTCCACAGTTACATGCTATTCATCAATTTTCTTGTCCATTAGGCTTCCAGATAAATCACTTCTCACACGGCGGTTCCACAATCCAAGCCTGTCTGATGCCATTCAAAACCAGCAGCTTCGTTATGCTTCATACGCGGTGCCAACAGGACTGCAGGGTGAGGACAATCGCTATGCTGTGATTCCTCCGTATGGGCCACGCTCAGGCCACTGGGCCAGAAATGCCCAAGGAGGAGGGGATGGAGGTGAGGACGTTTGGGCAGCTGAGAGGGTTTTACCACATGGCACTGTGCAGAATTTATCTAAGTGGTCGATGTACAAAGAAGATGGGGTGTTAGAAGGATATTCACCCGCACCTCGATTTGTGGATGGAAAGGCTCAGGACCCAGACTGGGCTCCGGAGAGAGAGAGAGCCAGGCCGAAAGTACCAGGTCAAAGCTGGTATGACAAGGTACCTGAATGCAAGATCAACCCATTTTTAGGAGGATTTAAGTTTCTATAATTTTTTACAATTGGTGGAGAATAGATTGGCATAGGAACAAGCGTAATGTACAGATTATTCAAGCAATAACTGAGAAGCTTTAAAGCTAAATGGCCCTAGCAGCATTTCCTCATAGAGTTCACAAACATCTGAATTTCTGCATGTTTTGCATCAGCTATGCATTGAGCCGTGACTGTACACCCCAGGCTTTGTTATTTGTGAGTCCTTGACTAACTATGTACATTTCATGTGTGTGTCCAGATCTATTCTATCCTAAGCATGCCCACAACAAGCCACAGGGTTAAACGCTGGGCGGAGGGAATGGAGGACTTGACACAGCTCCCGTAAGCACAAACCATTATTAGCAGCCTCACTTCTTATTTACTTATATCACACTCTTACAAGCAGTTTATTCCCTGAGCACAGTGTAACACAGTTTATTCTATGGCTTGTTTGTTCCCAGTGTCCCTGTAAGCTCTGAAAAGCTTTGAAACACTATAATTATGTAAATTATATGTTAAGTATGTGAGTGTTATTAAAAACACATCCAGAGCAAAAACCCCACATTAGATATTTGTTTTGTTTTTAACTACAAGTCTTTGGAAATCAGAGAGCTCTTGAGTGTCTTTGAAAACGAATTAATGCTGGATGTCAAAGTGAGAGTGGGAGTGCTGCTTCAGCAGGACAATATGTGCTCAGGACATGAATTTTAATTTTCTGTGTTTAATTTCAGTGAGCTGAATGAGACCACTGTTCTGATGAACCTGAAGAAACGCTACGACCAGGATCTTGTCTATGTATGCTAAATCACTCATTTGCAGATTAAATAACGTAATATCATAAAATGTCACGGACACTGCCAGCTGCCTCAGTTCGTTTACCCTCCCTTTTGTCCTTTTGTCCTTCTGTCATCTCTGTCTTCCACTCAGACCTACATAGGCAGCATCCTTGTGTCTGTGAATCCATACAAGTTGCTCAACATTTACGGGACAGACATGGTGCTCCTTTATGAAGGTCATGGACTGAGTGATAACCCCCCGTAAGATCTGTGTTTGTGTGTGTGTGTGTGTGTGTGTTTGGGCTTTTGCATGTGTTGGACCTGTTAGAGTTTCTGCAAAGAGGTAATGGAAGATAGGCCATTTTTGAGTATTTTACTATTAATAAACTGCACAAGATTATTAGGCTCGAAATGATTTAATTCTAACTTTGTCTCAGAAGTGTGACAAAGGTCAGGCATTTTCCTATGAATTTAGCAAGAAGTCACCCTTTCTAGACTCTTTATTTATTTATTTATTTTTGTAGACTACCCGTTTTTGGATTTATCAGATGTGAAGATGTCTGCCTTGTTTAGAATATAATGAATTAGACGACACTAGCCCTGTAGTTCTAAACTGAAAAAGTCGACAGGAGCTTTTCTTTTTGTTTATAAAGCAAAAAAAGCAGGTAGCTAGCTAGCATTATAGTTCAGCTTAAAGGATGCTGTTATTTTTTACATTCGGTCAGGCTGGCACAAGCAAAGTGATACACTGAGCTGACATAGTTCAGAATAAAGAAAATAGTTCCTTCATGAAACTTTTTTGGGGGAATAAACGGGTTGTAATTCATTGCAAGAGACATTGCTAATGACTTTTTCAAATGCTGTTTTTGGCAGTTTAATACACTTTATTCTAGAGAAAGGCAGACGTCTACACAGCTAATTTCTCCTGGTTACCTTAACCCCAAAATCTAGATGCATAAATAAAACTAAAGGCCAGAGAATGGTTCATGGTTCAGAAAAAGTTGGAACCACAATTGTTTGAAAATGGAGGGCTTATTGAAACAATTTTTTGAAAAAACAAAAACATTAATTTGCATCTACATGAGTTAAAAAAAATTTATTGTGTAATTCATTTTGGTTTTTGTGGGTGAAAAAATTCACACTGATGACGCAAAAGTCTCAAAAACTCACAAAACACCACGTATCAAATGTGACACACTAGCCGTTAAAAGGTTAAACCTTCAAGTGAAACCTTTACAGCTGTGTTTGTGTGGGCATACGCTGTCCCACTACATCTGTCTACATGTGTCGTAAGCTGTGCTCTGAGATCCTGTACGGCGGTAAATAAAGGCGTTAAAGGCCAGCACTCTCAGGTGTTAGTAACAGGCTCGCCTTACACTGTTAATGGTCTGTTGCCAAGGGAGAGTTTGGTTATGGATTTCACTGCCACTTCTACACACACCAAGCTGACATGCACACAGCTGGTGTGTGTGTGTGTGTGATTTTATTCTAATTCGACATCTTTTGTTGTGTTGCAGTCATCTCTTTGCCATTGCTAATCTCTCATATACCACCATGATGGATGCCAAAAAAGATCAGTGTATAGTGATCAGGTATGAACTGCTGATTAAAGTCTGATTAAAGGCATCATAAAACGAGCGCTATAACTCATTCATATTGGTGGTTTTTGTTATTCCAGTGGAGAAAGTGGGTCAGGGAAGACTGAGGCCACTAAATTGATCCTGCGTTACCTGACAGCCATACACCACAAACGCAATGTCACACAGCAGGTATATGTCCAGTGTCCAATTCTTTTGTATGAGTGGACAGACACAGAATGAAGCTCATATTCAGTTTAAACTAACTTTTTTTTCTCTCACATCCTGGTCTTTAAATCTATCTTCTGCCTTCAGATAGAGGTAAAGTATTCTCATCGCTTCCCCCATATTTTGCTCTCTTTACCGTCATACTGAAAGTGCTCATAGTAATTTTCCCTCTGTGCTGACTGGGCAGATCCTTGAGGCCATGCCCCTGTTGGAGTCTTTTGGGAATGCCAAAACAGTGCGCAACGACAACTCTTCACGCTTTGGCAAATACACGCAGATCTACATGGACGAGTGAGTAGTAACAACATTCTTCTTCTTTCAGCTGCTTCCTTTTGGTGTTGGTGTTACGCCAAAAAGGGATTTCCGATGTTTCAGTGTGTTTTTTTATTTGTAATAATTTTGCTTTTATTGTTAGGTAGACTGTAATCTATAGCATTTATGAAGAGGCTATATATAAAATCAAGAAACGGCCTATTTTGTGACTCTACTCTGTGTTATACATTATCTCGCCCATTTTGGTCACTTGAAATGTCTTTATAGATCTGTAATGTTATCCCTGTATCATAACACACACACATGCACACACACACATGCACACACACAGAGAATTGGTGACACTGGGTTTACTGGGGAATATGCTAATATGTCCCACTGGCACAGTTAGATAAGGAGTTGATTTTCTGTTAGAACTGTGACAGAGAGCACATTACACATGCATGACTTGTTACTTAACTCAGCCTTACTCTGTGTTTGCATGTGTGTGTGTGTGTGTGTGTGTGTGTGTGTGTGTGTGTGTACCTGACTGTGTAATTTTACCAGGGGTGTAATCAGCGGTGCCATAACGTCTCAGTACCTGCTGGAGAAGTCACGCATTGTCTTTCAGGTGAAAAACTCTCAAACACACGTATTCACACAACAGCTCAGGTGGAGTCTTTTTACCACTGAGTCATGAGCCCCATTCAGACATGCACTCCTTTCCATTAATCTAATGCCATCTGAACCTAGCGCTACATATCCTAGTAGGCACCCTGTTCACTTTTCCTGTAAAACCTGCAACAGCAACCTTTCTTGGTACTAGGCCACTTACACGTCACCGAACGGCATTTGCGTTGAAGAACAGGCAAGCACAAAGTCGTAGCAGTGTCTTACCTGTGTAATTAAGTTCACTGTTAATTTCAAGAAAAGTTCAAGTAAAATTTAAACATTGCTCTGTGATGTGCTTTTGCCATCCACAGTCCAGATATACCTCTAAGCCTGGTCTAAGGGAGAATTAAATATTCACATACTGTGGCTCTAATAACAGTGACGTATATCTGAATGGCTTTGAATGACAGACAGCTGTGTCTTACAGACAGATGTAGAGATGTAGCCCGAGACTTTCTTCGTGGTCGCTTTCATCTGGTCACACATCCTTTGAGTATCCCTCAAACATGTGTTTCTCTGTCAACGGCATTATGTGTGTCCGTTTCAGTCATAAGAGATTTAAACTGCTAAGCAGTCCTAGTGTGTGTGCGCATGTGTCAGGGTGACTTTTTTCTGTATGTGTGTTTATTCACAGGCCAAATCAGAGAGGAACTATCACATCTTCTATGAGATGTTGGCAGGCCTTCCTCCTCATGAGAAGCACTCGCTGTACCTGCAGGAAGCTGAGACTTACTACTATCTCAATCAGGTGCTCAGATTCAAACACGCAGACATCCATCAGATATCAAAGAAAATCACAAGGACATTAACCTCCTGTAGAGTTACCATTAGCATAACTGCTACTTCAGTAAGCCTTAAGCCATTAAGTCTTGGGACTAAAATTCAATAAGAACCATACTGCAAAAGCAGCCCAAGAGTTTCTTGAGGCAAAGAAATGGTATAATCTGTAATGACCAAGACAGTCACCCGATCTCAGCCCAATAGAGCATGCTTTTCAGTTACTGAAGCCTAAACTGGATGGAGAGAGACCCACAAACAAACAGCAACTGAAGGCAGCTACAGTAAAGCCCTGGAAGAGCATCTGTGTCACGTTATCTATAATATATATATATATCTAAAAATGGCTTGAATTCCTAAAAAGTTAATGGAATTTTTTTGTGAAACCCATTTAATTAAAGCTGAAAGTCTGCACTTGGATTACATGTTGATTGTTTTATTTAAAATCCACTGTGGTGGCGTGCAGTGTGATCCAAAATCAGCCATTGTTAAACCAGTCCTGAACAATGAAAGAGATCAGACTAATGTCACAGTATTAATACAGCACAGAAATGACCATTTCATTGCTCACAGATTTAAAACCATGAAACCACAGCCTATCCTGGTGAATAGGATTAACATTATACTTGTTGAACGTCCACTTTTCAACATTTATATTGAAACACAGGTGTGCGTAACTGCAGCCTAGCAAAGCTGCAGGCACAGCTGTAGTCTTGTTTCTTCTTTGTCAGCTGTCCTGCCAACACCAAGTTTTTTTTTCCACACAAAAAGAATTAATTAGGGCCATTTGTTCATAATTATGACATTTTCTGTTTGTTTTTTCACCTCTGGGCTTTATTTCCAAGCTGATTTGCGCTGTTGTATTTCTTTATGAGGTAGTGTTCATCTTGGACTATTTCCCACCCAGTTAGCGGTGTGTTTGTGGTAATTACAACAACATTTTTTGAAGAGTAACTTAACACCGGGCTGAGCGATAGCGTGTCATTGCTCTCCCTGACTGAAAGTGTGCTGACAAGTGAGCCCTTTTGCTCTCGTAACTGCAATCGCCAGTGAGGTCACGGTGCTCTGATACACCCTGAAGTGGATCCTCCCCATCACTGCACCAAGAGACTCAAATCACTGATAAGTTGCTCTTAAATTAGACCTAAAGAGGGTAAAATGTCTTTTTCCTAACGGTGCACGTGTGTGTCCATGCATGCAGGGAGGGAACTGTACCATAGAGGGAAAGGATGATGGGGAGGACTTCAGGCGTTTGCTGAGTGCCATGGACATCCTGTGTTTCACCTCAGAGGAGCAAAATGGCATCTACAGACTTCTTTCCTCTGTCCTTCATCTGGGGAACATCTACTTCCAGCCACACCTGGTCTGTCTTTCAAACACAAACATGTATTTAGTTTCACGACCTAATGGTGAGGATGACGTTGGCAGTAATAATGACAGTGACTCCATATGTATGTGTCTGCGACTGTGTCCCGCAGGCTGAGGGTCAGGAGGTCGCGTCAGTGGTGAGCACGCAGGAGATAAGGGTGGTGGCTGAGCTGCTGCTGGTCTCACCCGAGGGCCTAGAGAAATCTGTCACCTTCAAGCTGACAGTAAGTGGTGCACACTTTTGCAGAAACAGCCCCGTGCACACACCACAGATATGATTATTTCTGTAACAAAATATAGATGTTAGATATCAGAGATGTGTTTGATCCCCCAGGATACGGTGCGGGAGAAGATCTATACTCCGCTGACAGTGGAGAGTGCTGTGGATGCCAGGTGAGTGAGTGACTGAAAGTCTCAATCTGTTAAATTAAACATGATGCACCTTGCTCTGTTTGGGGGAAAAAAACTGAAAATCTTAGGGCTTTTTAATGTCCTCATGTTTTTTTCACCCCCTTCTTTAAAATCATACCAGGAGACTGCTGAGAGGGAGCCAAGAGTCTGTGATATTCTCTTCCAATCTTTGGTAGAGGCATGTGAGGACAAAGGACGTCAGGGCTTGAAGTGGGGGGGGGGGGGTTTCAGATGTCCTCTGTTTCCATAGGAACCGGGTTTTCTGTTTCCATAGAAACCTTATTGTGCGTTTTTCATAGAGATGCTGTTGCCAAGATCCTGTATTCGCTGCTGTTTAGTTGGCTGACGGAGCGCATCAACGGACGCGTCTACCCTCGCAGCGAAGCGCTCTCCATCTCCGTGCTGGACATTTATGGATTTGAGGTCACACTGAAGAGCACTCGCAGTAACGTCACATCTGTGTTTGTGTCTGAGCTGACCCGTGTGCTAAGTGACTCACATAACCCCCGGTTGTCTCTTCTGTGTGTCCTCCAGGAGCTACAGGTGAACAGTTTCGAGCAGCTGTGCATCAACTACGCCAATGAAACTTTGCAGTTCTACTTTAACAGGGTCATTTTCCAGGAGGAGCAGGTCAGAGAACCACAAGTTAATGTGTTCATTTCCCATTTAGTTCACATCAGTGACATCACTGACCAGTTTGTTAGGTACACCTGTTCAACTTTTCATTAATGCAAGTATCTAATTGCCCAATCACATGTCAGCAACTCTATGCATTTAGACATGTAGATGTGGTCAAGACCACCTGCTGAAGTTCAAATTGATTTAAGTGATTCTGAACATGGCATAGTTGTTGGTATGAGATGTGTCCGAATGGTTTAGAAACTGCTGATCTGATGGGATTTTCCCAAACAACCATCTCAAGGATTTACAAAGAACAGTCTGAAAAAGAGAAAATATCAAATAACCGGCAGTTTCTCTGTGAAAATGTTGTTTTGATGTTGGAGTTCAGAGCAGAATGGCCAGACTTCTTTAAGCTGATAGGAAAGCAACAACCAATGTATCCAAAAGAATGAATGCACAATGCCTTGAAACCTGAAGCAGATGGGCTACAGCAGCAGAAGTCCACACTGGGTGCTGCTACTGTCAGCTAAACACTGAAATTGAGGCTATAATTGACACGGGCTCACCAAAACTGGACAAAAGATTAGAAAAATGTTGCCTGGTCCACTGAGTTTCAATTTCTGCTGCAACATTCAGATGGTAGAATCCAAATTTGGCATAAACATCATGAAAGAATGGATCCATCCTGCCTTGCATCAATGCTTCAGGGTGCTGTTGGTGTAATGGTGTAATGGTGTGGGGATATTTTCTCGGCACACATTGGGCCTCCTTAGTGCCAAATGAGCATTGTTTAAACACCACAGCCTACCTGAGTATTGCTGCTTACTATGTCCATCCCTTTATGACAACAATGTACCCATCGTCTGATGGTTGCTTCCAGCAGAATAATACACCATGTCACAAAGCTCAAACCCTCTCAGACTGGTTTCTTGAACATAATGGGTTTCACTGTACTGAATGGCTTTCACAGTCACCAGATCTCAATCCAGTACAGCACATTTGGGATGTTGTGGAACAGAAGGTTCACATCATTGATTTGCAGCCAACAAATCTGCAGTATCTGTGTGATGCTATCATGTCACTAAGGACCAAAATCTCTGAAGAATGTTTCTGAGCAGCTTGTTCAATCTATACCATAAAGAATTAAATCAGTTCTGAATGTCAAACACGAGCACAAACTAGCAAGGTGTTCCCAATAAAGTTTTCAGTGACTGTATGTATGCAAGGCTGCCTGCAAACTATCACAATAGTTTACAGGCAGCCACAAAGCAAAAAAACCCCAACAACACAAAAACCCCGCATAGTTCGCCACTGAAGCCAACAAGATAATTTAATGTAGCAACAAAAAAAGTTAAAATGACACCAGAGAAGCTTAAAGAGTTTTGTGTTAATGATACAGAAGCACAACTATGAAACCTATATTCCCGTTTCACAGTTGTAGCCCCATGTCACCCGTCTAAAAAAGGAGGGATTTCCAGAGGCACATTTAAACTCAGGCTATCAAATCTTTCACAAATCATAGCAGAAAGCAAGAAACAATTAGCAGCGAGTTAGTCGAGTTTTACATACACCAGCCTGACGAATCTTGCGCTTGTTTTGTGCTGAATTGTGCTGCGTAGGAGGAGTACATGCGGGAGCAGATCAAATGGCAGCAGCAGCCCTTCGGCCACAACGAGGCATGCCTCGACCTTATTGCTGCTAAGCCCCATGGGATACTGCGCATACTGGACGACCAGTGCGGTTTCCCTCAGGTAAGCCCATTCCTGTTAAACTAATAACCGTTTTCTCCAGAGTTATTGGAATTCGCTTAAATTGAATCAAAAACACATACAATATGAAAGTGAATACAATAATGGTAAACACAAGCAGTTTTTAATTAAGACAAAGGTGTTTAATGACTTATAACTCCACGGAGAGAGAAGCCCCAAGTGCGCGAAGAACAAGTGATTGAGACAGACTCAGTATGTGGAAAGCGAGCGCACTTATAATAGGCTTATATTAGATTACAGGAAACTTTGGAAGAGTTGCACTCTTTAAGCGTGCTGTTAAAAAAACACAAGCCAACAACAGCTCTAACTTCATATTTCATATCTCAGTTTTAAAAAAAATTGAGTTAAAAAAGAAAAAAAAAACCTGCACTATTGGATTTCTCATTAACCAGGAGACTGTATTGTAGCCAGCTTCAATCAATACAAAACTATCCCACATGCTCACTTAATTGCCTACCTGCTGCTATCATTATTCCCGGGGCTCCCAGTGTAAGAAGCTGTCTGAGCTCATAGTGAGATAAATGTATTATAAGTCTCTGATGCTCGGAGTGAAATATGAACACGCCGTTACATGAAAAACCCACTGAGGCGATCTGCCAAACACTCACACGCAGACACGCACAGGAAACATGTGTTTGTGCTGTAGAGGTTTAGTTTCCATGGCTCAACAACCATTAACCATCTCCAATCATTGCTAGGCAACAGACCACACCTTCCTTCAGAAGTGCCACTATCACCATGGAAACAATCCGCTCTATGCCAGGCCAAAGATGCCACAGCCAGAGTTTACCCTGAAACACTATGCAGGGAAGGTCACCTACCAGGTACTTCCTGCCTTCCCTGTTTTCTTTCTTTCCTGCTTCTCTGTGTTTTGCTTTTTAACATTTTCAACTTTTCATTTCTCAACATTTCAATCTCTTTTATAGCCTTTTTCCCCCCAGTGTTCTTCCTCTGATCATTTCCTTTTTTCCCCTCTTTTTTTGCATTCTCATATAAAGTGCATCTGGAAAGTATTCACAGCTCTTTGCTTGTCCTACATTTTGTCATATTACAGCATTATTTCAAATCACTGATTAAATTCATTTTCCACTTTTTATTCTACAAACAGTACAAAAAAAGTTTGCTTGAAATTCTTGAAAATTTATTAAAATAAAAAGCTAAAATATAACATGCACATAAATAAGAATTCACACCCTTTGCCAGTGATCATCTGTCAGATGTCTGTACAACTTGATTGGAGTCCACATGTGGTAAATTCAGACATACAAGGGCCGCAGGTCGGACTCAAACTGGGGCTTTTGCATTTCAGCCGTATAGCATATGTGCACCTGCTCAAACACTGAGTTAAACAGGTGCCCATCAGATCCAAAGTCCACATTGTTCTTGGATGAAAGGATTTTAAACAATTTAAAATGAATACACACCAAAATCCACACATCTGACAGACTAAGAGCCACAGGTGCTGTTGAAATGACATTTTTAATTGAAAATTTGAGTGAGTGATTTTTCTTTTAGTTGACTAATTGCTTAACAGCTCTAGAATTGTGTGTCCATCCATCAATTTTTTTTCCATCCATTCTTGTTCAGGTTCACATGGCTTCTATTGTGAATAAATCATTGTGAAGTAGTACACGGGAGTACTGAAAAACTGTGTTATAATAATGAATGAATGTGATATAGTACTGAAGGTTATTAGGTTTTTCATCAAAATGTCTTGCTTTGGACAGTATGATTGTGAAACAGGTAGTCGCTTGCATACTGTGTGGTATGTTTTAAACATATTCTAATGTAATCTGTCAAAACCAGACTCCAGAGATATTTCCGTTCCATAAAAATCTCCCTGTCGTTCATGCATGTGGCTGTAAATTTCTGGTTTGAATCAATTTGCAATAGTTTTGAATGATTTGTGATGCAGGTCTACAAATTCTTGGATAAGAACTTTGATATGGTGCGCCAGGATGTTTTGGACCTCTTCACCCAGAGCAAGAACAGAGTGAGAAGTGGAAATGTTTAAAAAAAAAATTGATTCAGATACTAAAGTATGGTGAAGCATGATATTGTAACGTGGATATTATCTGTGTCTTTCTGTGTGTGCAGATGGTTTCGAGCCTCTTCTGGAAGCACTCAGAGTCTTTGTCTCAGCAGCGGTCTAACGTGCGGCGCAGCAGCGCGGCTCGCCGTTATCAGGCCAACACGGTCAGCGCAAAGTTTCAAAGCAGCCTGCAAGAGCTGCTGGAAAAGATGGAAAGGTTTTAGGCTCATTTATCTTTTTAAAACAAGAAGACTGCATCACAGCTTTCTTTGAAATCTCTCCCTCTTTGACACTCACTCGAGTTCCCACAATACACTGAGCCTGTCATCAGTTCAGGTGAACCACAAAGTCAAGCTCAGCTACAACTGCGATGAATCAGCTGAATGTTCAGCTGACAGTCTTCTATGCATCCAGCTGACAAATCGCATAATGGGTGGGCAGTTTAAGTAGCTTTATCCTAAAGTCACACAAGGAAAAACAGTGGACCACAGTGCAGCCGTGTGCAGTAAAATTAAATGCTTGCTTTGAAGATGAGAATCAGGTCAGCTACTGTCTTTAAAGCGGTTTTGGTGGATCAACATGCTGATAAAATAACAATACAACTGAGCCAGTGTGCAGCTGAATAGGGTCAATCTGGCAATTATGTGAAATCTGTTTGTGATAATCTGGTGTTTAACTGTGACTAATTAGATTAAATCACAAATCTGTTGGCATCAAATTCACATTAACGACTTTCATTCAGACTCCAGACACAACCTCTTAGATTTGAAACAAATATTCAGAAATTACTTGCAAACTGACCATATTACCAGCAAACCTGCTTTTATATAGACATGTAACCAGATTACAATCAAACTGAGAGATGAGTCCCCCGTTGCAAAAAGACACCTGCATACCTGTTAACCTTGACTCAGAATATAAATTAAAAAGTTACTTGCCAACTTTTACCAGTCTGTATGTGAGTGGTTGCAGAGAGTCAAGCCAGACTGCAGTTGTTTGGAGACAGGTTGCCAACCACCAGGCAACTGGTGCAGTCACCTTCCAATCAAAAGTGGTCACTCAGAGGTCCGGTTTTTCCTAGTTGCCATGAGGTTGCCATCCTGTTTTTGCTGTAGTGTGACTGAGCCATGACTCTGCTTGCAGTTAAGAATCATCTGCAAGTCCCTTTGTACCAAGCCCCCCCCCATCTCCTCCTTTTATGGTGTGTCTGACTTAATCAGTATCATGTCTGCTGTCAGTTCTGTACAGACAGTCTCGTTGGCCCTCTCCCTGCTGCCTCTAGCTTTGCACGTGTGCACATGGAAGGACGGGGAGGTGAGCAGCGCCACACCACCAAATATGAATCCCAGTCGTGGGAAATATTAATCTCCTTTAGACTAAAGTGGTCCTGACTATCACTGGTGAAAAAAGATAATGATGCTTCATAAATGTATGAAATTGTCTGTGATGAGAGTGTCTGATGTGGGCAATGAGCAAAAGAAGGAGTGGTTTCTTTCACAGCTCTCATCAAACAACGCACACTCTATCATGGCCTTGTTCCTAAAGGCGGATTGAACAATTTGTTTTGCCGTGGTGTACCATTAGACTAAAGTGATTATCTCTGACAGCCTTATTAGCCTCAATCATGTCTCAAATAGATGAAAACTGAGGCCTCAGGAGGTCTGTCAGTCTGAAATTGTTAATAATGTAGCTCCAGCTATAAAAGTACATGCCATGCATTCTCATTTTCAGCTGGAAAGTAGACTTCCCCGCACAGTTTATCAGGTTTCATCAGCTCATGCATTTGTTTATTCACTCATCCATCCATTCATTCTCATCTATCTGTGACAGGTGTAACCCTTATTTTGTGCGATGCATCAAGCCAAACCATCTTAAGGTATATTTGCAAGTTGGATGATGTGTGCAGGCTTGCAGTGCTTTCTTGTTTAGATTTGTATTAATTTCTGTTTTTAAAAAAAGCATATATCTATATATATGTGTGTGTGTGTGTGTGTGTGTGTGTGCATGTACATTGTGTACTGTTATAGGAGCCAGGAATGTTTGACATGGAGCTGGTCAAAACTCAGCTGCATTACTCCGGCATCATGGAGACCATCCACATCAGGAAGGAGGGTTATCCAATCAGACTGCACTTTCACAGCTTCCTATCGAGGTTGGCCACCTACTTATCTCCAAGCTGATTGTGTTTGAATCATCATTCTCAGCTTCCTTTCCTCAAATAAATTGTTTCTGCTGCCCTCTCCACTCGCTGCTTTCAGTTTTCAAAAATTGCTCAGATGATTGGTCTTTTTTTTCTGGGTAGAATACGTTTCACACACAGATTTCTTCACGCTGAAGTAGCCATCTGGCTTTTGTCACCTCCTGCAGTAGGAGAGCAGCTGAAATCAATTGATCTCACAGCGCCGTTCACTGCCAAAGTAGTCTGAGAAAAGAAAACAATGTCAGCACAGTCCAGCGTTTACAATAAGATTCACAGATAGAAGTTACCGAAGCTGTGAATGCCCAGATTCCCAATAAGCTCTCAGATTCACCACAAGTAATAAGCAAAGATACACAAGATTTAGGTGTTTTCACAGAATTCAGATTGAACTGTCACATGTCGATGCAGGTATAAAGCCCTGCTCTGCCTGAAGGATACTCCACCTGCAGACGGAGAAAACTGCGTTGCCATGCTCCAAAGACTCGGCCCAGTGAAGACCGACTCGTATCAGCTGGGTGTCAGTAAGGTGAGCGTTCTCAGAAATCTGCACACAAGTACAAATCATGAGGTCAGCTATGTCGTGCTGTAGATTTAAAAACAGATGAGTTTTTATTTGTGTGTGTGTGTTAGATTTTTCTGAAAGAGGAGTTGTATCAGCTGCTGGAGGGCAAGCGTGACCGTGTGCTGAACCTCGCTGCCATGACGCTGCAGAGATACACGCGCACGTGCTTCATCCGAAAGAACTTCATCAAATTCAAGCGCTTTCTGACTGTGTTTGAAGCTCGTAGCAGAGGCTACCTGGCCAGGTAACATGCCCATCGTGTTGCCTTCATCTAATGCTTCAAAGCATCATCACTTCACATTTCAAATGTCCTTATATATATATATATATATATATATATATATCCTCCTCAAAAAATACAGAAAACAGAGAAAAACTCCACATAGTCACAGTCTTATTTCTCTATTCTAAAAATCTTAAAGCCGAACACTATCAGTATCATCGGTCTTTTCCTGGAAGTCGACTGAGCCTCGGCTTTCTTCAGCAGCCAACATGTTGCCCTGTTTAGTCTGGAGTTTCAGTCCTGCACTTGGCAATTTAGGCTTTAGGGTTTGGTTTCACAGAGTCAAACAGGTCAAACCTTATCTCAGACAACCTGCTTCTTTGTCCTTGATGTGAGGAGACAAGGCCAGAGGATTCAGGCTGTACTTATCCATCAAAGGTGATAGATGTCTGATTCGCTGCCGGCCCAGCAAAGTCCATAGATGTTCCAATTTACATTTTGTTCTACTGTGTAAAAAAAATCAATAAAAAAGCACTAAAACTCAAGGTCAGACATTTCAAGACATTAATTATAGTTCAGCAGCGGCCGGTCTCCCTCTGATGAATTTGGGGAAATGATACATTAAATCTTGTTACACTGGTTGCAGCATTAATTCTTATTAGAGTAAGATGTCAGACTTTTGCACAAAAACATGGCAATTTTATTCATTTCTTTATTTACATACAGTCATGATAAAAAGAAAGGACATAATAAAAATGATACCAACTACTTAGCAGGTTTTAAAATTAGGTAAATGCAACCTGACATCAACAACAGTGGATTACATATTAAACTTTGTCATTATTTTCCTTTTTTTTAACAAAAATTAAAGCAAAATGCAGAAGCAGTGTGTGAGAAACTAAGTGCAGCCCATGACTTAATAGTGTCTAAAACCACATTTAGACATTTCCATACAGTAATCATTTTCTGTATGACTTTATCAATCTCTCACACCTGAGTGCTCCAGAGCAGAAACGTGCAAAAGCACAACAGATGCTCACATTCGCTGATGATCAATTTGATTAACAGCACCCAGCTGCTACTTACCCTCTCAATTCCTATGGAAGCAGTAAGGGTGATCTTAGTTTTACACACACTGCTGCTGCATTTTGCTTTCGTTTTTGTCAAATAAACGCACGACAGTGTAATATGTCACATTTGTTTGCTCATCTGAGATCATATTTTTGTCATTTTAACACCTGCTGATGACGTGATTGTTTTTATAACCTCCTAAAACATCAAACTTCCAAATTTTAAAATCTGATATGTCAGTGATTTTACCATGACTCTATGTACTGAACATTAAATCAGTGTTTTCTCTGCTCTCTGTTTGCTTCTTTTTGAATCCTTCATGGTTAATCCTTCCCCTGAACAGGAAAAACTTTGCTCTGAGGAGGAAGTACCTAATCAGGTTACGCTCCGTCGTGCTGCTCATCGTCAATCGCCAGCGTTACATGAGGGTAGGCGCACACGGTTTGAATAAACTGCTGGACACATTTACATATTTCTAAAAACAAGCGAACAAATAAAAAATGAACCAGCGTGTCAAGTATGATGCTGTTGTTTTTCTGTCAGACAGTGGTGGAGCCTGCAAGGAAGGCGGAGGAGGTGAGACAGGGAGGACGTAGGGAGAATACGTCAAAGGGAGGAGGGCCGCATTTTGAGTAAAAGAAGAAGATTTCGTGTACGTGTATAAATGTTTGAGTGTGTGTGTGTGTGTGTGTGTTTGCAACGTGTGCAGGATCGCATCAATCGAGAAGTGGTGAATGTGACAACATTGCCCATTCCCGCTGAGCTGGCCGCCCTGCTACAGGCTGCTTCAGGTACACACACACACACTCATATATAACACTTGCTGATATGAAGACACTGAGCCTATAAAAAACCTCCATCAGAAGATGTGTTCCATCTTGTTTGCAGGTGGCCTCGAGAATATTTGCTGTCGTATTTCTGTGCTCACACACGGCCTGCTGCTTTTGTTTGTATGCGTGTGTCGTGCAGGTGGTGAGGAGCTGCATTCTGACTGCTTGGCTGTCGTTCAGGCTCCAAAGGTTCAGGTTGACCCCCAGTTGACCCTGCCCCTGGACATCAACAACTACCTCATGACACACTACATCCGGGCTATGTTTAGGGTAATAATGAAGATACACGCACAGTTATGTTCAGATCGTGTTAGAGGACATTACACTGACTTACATTTATCGCATGTAGACTTTCTGTAACCCTAAACATGCTACTGCTGCCACTTGCTGAACCATAAACCTTTTACTGTAACATTAAACCAAGTGGTTGTCATAAAATGTAATTATTTACATCAAGAGGACTTGCTTTTTGTCACCACAGGGGAAGCAGGTCTGCACAACATCACTGTCTAAACAGCTTCATGTCCCTTACAACAGGAAAAGTACAAGCACTCAGGAAATGCATGTAAATTTTTGTGACTGGTTTAAATAAATGGGAAGCGTCACAGGACTCATTTATATGAGGGTTGTAAATGGTAACTGGAAATATTATTTCTCAGGCTGAGTGTGTGTGTGTTTATAGGAGCCGTTGTTTGGGATGGTGACTGCCCCGCTGGAGAATTCCCTGATTCGAATGGATGAGGAGCTAAAACACGGAGCCCTCAACGTTTTCCTTCTGGTATAGTTGCATTCAGTTGTTGCTGGGTAACTCTGGTATCTACAGTGTAAATGAAAACCTTGCGGTGCTGAAAGGTCAAATCTAATGTCAGGAAATGAAAAGCAATCAAATGAATGTGTCCTCCAGTTTTTGGCACTTTAAAAATCCCTCAGCTACAGTTAAGTCCACAGGTCTTTGGAAAATGATACTTTTTTTTTTCTTGTAATGTCGCCTCTGCATGACACTTCGGTGGATTATAAATCAAACATTCAAACAAGCAGGTGACCAGGTGAAGCCGGGTCTCTTGTTATTTCATTAAAGCTTAGGCAGATAAAAGATCTGTGGCTGAAGGTGCATTTGCTGGCTCTTCAGCTCTCAATACGAGGTCCCAAGACATGCAAGGGAAGGAGGCTGTCAGAGAGGTGGCAAAAACTTTAGGAGTGGCCAAATCAACCCGCACCAGAGTGATGGGAAGAGAAAAGTATGGAGAAGGAGAGAGACAGCTCACCATCCAAAGCATATCACATTATCTGTCAAACATGGGGGGACAATGTTACAGCATGGGCATGTATGTATGGCTGCCAGCTGAACTGGGTCACTGGTATTTATTGATGTTGTGACTGCGGATAGAAGCAGCAGGATGAATAGTGAAGTGTGCAGGGCTACACTCTCTGCTCAGACTCAGCCAAAAGCTGCAAAACTGATTGGACAGTGCTTCACAGTGAAAAAGGATAGTGACCTAAAGGAACCCAAGAGTTTGTCCAGGCGAAGAAAGTAGAAAATATTATTCAGTGACCAAAGTCAGTCACCCGATCTCAACCCAGCCGAGTATGCTTTTCAGTTAGTGAAGGCAAAACTGAATGCAAAGGGACCCACAAACAAGCAAGCATCAAGCAGCTGCTGAAGCTTTCCTTTTTTATGGAGCTTATAGTTGGGGCTGGATCAGGTGACCTTAAATCCGCCCTTAGTTATGCAGCAATAGGTCTAGGCTCCTTCATGGCTTCCCATCAAGTACTGACTGTTTCTTCTTCACTTACCTCTTTTCACTCACAGTGTGTTTTCACACCACTCTGTTATTATTAATTAGTTATTATTAATCTCTAGCTCTCTTCCAAAGTGTCTCTTTTGTCCTGTCTTCCTCCCCTCACCCCAAACCGGTCATGGTATTCTGCTGGAGGTTTCTTTCTGTTAAAAGCGAGTTTTTCCTTCCCGCTGTCACCATGTGCTTGCTTATAGGGCGTCGTTTGATTGCAGGTGTTTTCTCTCTATTATTGTAGTGTCTTTACCTTACAATGTAAAGCACCTTGAGGTGCTTTACATTCAGTTTTTGGTGTTTTAAAAATAAAACTATATAAATTGAGGGAAATATGCACAAACATAGCTGTAGTTCCTAAATAGTTCATATAATATTTATATGAAACCACTTAATTAAAGCTCAAAGTCTGCACTTCCATCACATCTTAGTTGCTTGATTTAGTATCTGTCCTGGTCCAAACACTTGTGGTTCTAACTGTATCTGTGTTGATTTAACCATCAGTTTAATTGGACATCAACTGTTCAAAATCAGTAAAACCTTTTTTGACCAAACCTATAAATTTGGGGGCTTGAGTTTTACTTATGCATGTCTTAACTACCAACTACCCGTGCTTTTAATAGATACTTAGGTTCATGGGTGACCCAAACTTGAACGGGGCTCAGGAGAATCTGTTTGGGAACTACATCATCCAAAGAGGACTGGCCAATCCCAGCCTCAGGGATGAGATTCTGGTTCAGGTGGCAAATCAAGTAAGAACCACTTTTTGTGTCTACTAATAAACTATATTACTAATTAAATATTTTCTTAATTTACTTCATTGCTGTCTTTTGTACCACTAGGTGTGGAGGAATCCTAACATCCTAAATTCAGAGCGCGGCTGGCTCCTGCTTTCTTCCTGCCTTTCTGCCTTCCTGCCCTCTCAGAGGCTTGCAAAGTACCTGCTGAAGTAAGACGTGAGCCTGCAACATATAAACCATCCATCACTATTAGCAACAGTTTATTGATCTTTATGCTCTAAATTAATATGTTCTTTTGAAGTATTTTGCTCCTTGGTATATTTTTGCTGTGGTTGTGCTGATACTTGTGTTTGTTCATGCTTGTTGTTGTTTTGCAGGTTTGTGTCTGACTATGGGCCGGAGGGCTATGACTGTGTGTGCCAGCACCGTCTGCTTCAGGCCCTGCAGAGGCTCAGTGTCGGGCCAGAGTATGTCAGGACGTACCCACCCTGCCTACTGGAGTGGACCGCCAATCGCAAGAAAGCTCACACGGTTCTGCACGTGCACTGTTTCGATGGTGAGAAAATGAACA